ATATATATATCCTGTATATATTTTCCTTTTTAGGTCTAAAGTTCTGAAGATGCTGCTCAGTTGAGAAGTCCCTGGGTTCAATCCCCAGTACTGGGGAGGGAAAAAAAAATCCAGAAAAGCAGCAAGTGGGAGGGGAGCAAGCAGTTTTATCAGCTTGGTACTAAACGCTTTTACCACTGTTATTTTATTTAACTTCCTATCAACCCTTTGAGATCCGTGAAATAAGGGAGTCAAAAACAATACTGTAACGGGCCAGGGATTTAGCTCAGTGGTTTGGTGGCCTGCCTTGCAAGCGCAAAGACCCGAGTTTAATCCCTGGTACGGAAAAAAAACAAACAAAACAAAACAAAAAAACAACAATACTGTAAGATTCCACTTATATGAGAGGCATCTAAAGTAGACTGACAGAACAGTGATGGTTACCAGAGACTAGGGAAAGGAGGAGAGTTGTTTAAAGGACAGTTTCATCTTTGCAAGATGCAAAAGTTCTGGAGATTTTAATATACTCAATGTGAATACACTAAAAAATACAATATTTAACATGGGGAATATACTTAAAACTACCTAACTTAAAAACGGTGGTAAACTGAATGTGCATTTTACCACAATTTAAAAAGTTATTGTAGACACAAGTTTGAAACCCTTTCCCCTACTCACTTCCTATATTTTATGTAGCAGATACCATCAGATGTGTTTTATTGCTAGTCTCTTGCCACTAGAAAGCTCCACAAATCCAAAGGTTGTGACTAGCTTGTAACTCTTTCATCTGTGAAAGTTTGGCATACATCAATTGCCCATTTAAGTATCTGCTGAAGGCATATGGCCAATCTTGCAGCCTAAGCTGTGCAACTTAGAAAACTGAGGTTCATTCCTTTTATGTAGTCAAAGTATTCTCAACTTCATTTTATCCACCAATTTTCTTACATCCTTTAGCAACCACCCTGCCCTCCCTTTCCGAGAAAAATAGAAACCAAATGTATAAATGATTTTTCTTCATGTTCTGCCTCTGCTCTACAGTCCTTTCTATTCATTTCTACCTTCACACTGACCCAGCTCTCATTTAAATTGACCTCATTTCAGCGACCTCCCGGATCGCTAAACACAAAGTGAAGTTCATGCCCTTACCTTGTATGACTGCCCAGCAGCAAGGGCGCTCAAATCTCAGCTGAGAAAGCACACAGGGTTTCTTCCTGTCATTAACCCATTTCTTCAGTTTCTTTTCCAAGTTTGTCCTCCACTACACACCAATAAATGTTGGAACTCTACAACCTACTCCAAACATCACACCTGGACAGTCATCCTCACCTCCTACTTAATAACCATCCAAACAGGCAGAGGACTGAAATCTCATCTTGACCCCTTCTCTGGCCCAGGACTCTCCTTCAAGCTCCAAGGACCCTCCCTACTAGACAGCCATTCGGATGTCTCAACACAAACCACTGCACTCAGCACCCATACTTCACGTCAGATTCTCTTCCCATCTCCTGTTGCTTTCATTTACTCAGGTGATGTAACCTAGAAACCTAGAATCATCCTTGATACTTCCCTCTCCCCACGGCCAACAGCTCAGCATCACCAAATGCAGTGTTTTAGCAGCTGAATATCTTTCATCTACGTACTTCATGGACCAAAAGCTTTAGTGCAAGACCATCTCTTGCTTTGGTGTTTTACACTAAGGGAACCAGTGATCTCTCACTAAACCAAAGGGCATTTCCGACCAACTAATGCTCATTTTAGGTATGGACACTTTTTTTTTTTTTGGTACCAGGGATCGAACTCAGGTCCTTGTGCTTACAAGGCAGGAGCTGAACCACTGAGCTAAATCTCTGGCCCAAATGCTCCTTATTTTAAAAATCACTACTCTTAATAGTTCTGTTGCTCTTAGAATGCAAACATCCTTTTTACAACTCACCAGACTATGGGGGTTAACCTTTCCAGTCCCTCCCTGCCCCCATTATACAATAATATAATATAATAGACTTTTATTTGCTTTTATGCCCTTGCACTGTCTGCCGTGGTACTTCCCACATGGCCTTTACACTGTCAGAAAGTGTTTTCAGTCTGCACGAGTAACTGGGTTTTTTTGCCACAATCAGCTGAGTCATTTGGGGAAATTTTAACTTCCCTACTTATTGACAAACCTTCACTTGAGATGTTGGAAGGACTGACTGGCATTTGTGTGATTGATGCTCCTAACAGTGGCTAGCACTTGGTAAGGGCTCCCCCATCAGCCTGATTATCACTTTCCTCGAAGCCAATTCCTTCTATTATTTATTGTGTATCATTGGATATTTTTCTTAATATGTATCATAAATATTATTTTACTTGCTGTTCTTTTGACCTTTTAAAAAGTATCCTGTTCCCCAACAGTATCCTGCATGAGACAGGGAGCTCAAATACATGTTTCTAAAGGCTCAAAGTGCTGATTCATAGAAGTCTAAAGATACTGAAAGACTATGTACAGATAACAGCCAGGCATGGTGGAGCATGCCTGCAATCCCAGCTCTCAGAGAAGCTCAGGTAGGAGGATCACAAGTTCAAGCCCATCCTAGGCAGTGCAGCACATCAGTGAGACCATATCTCAAAAAAACAAAACACCAAAACAGGCCTTGAGTTCAATCCCACCACCAAAAACAAAAAATGAAAAGAAAGCGGAGATGGTTACTTTATCATAATGCTAATTATGAAGCCTTCCACAATAGAAATATACTGGGCTGGGGATTTAGCTCAGTGGCACCACGCCTGCCCTGCAAGTACAAGGTCCTGAGTTTGATCTCTGGTACCGGGAAGGAAAAAAAAAAAGAAGAAATATGGAGTAACTGAAAGCTTTCCACGTTAGAATTAAACATCCATATAATAGAATGTTCCCATTCAACTGTACCCAGAAATTAGTTGCACCATTCTTTATTGCTGGGATACATGGAGTGTAATAAGCTGATGAAAACCAGGTCCAGCAAAGATTTTGTAACCAAGATGCAAGACACATTGGGTACTCTGGCTAAAGAAAGGAGCTCATAACTGACCAGCTTTTATTTTTTTTTGCTATCTGGGAATAACAAAAACTTAGTCCCAATGAAAATGATTAATTTAATTTATATCATGTAAAGGTACAAGATCCCAGTAATGAATGTAACTGTACTGCCTACCTAGAATATACCAATAAATTACATTAAAAAAATAATTTATATCAATGGGACATTGAAGGGGGGGATTTTTTTTGTTCAGGATTAAAACACAACTTTAGAGCAACTAAAGCTAGTGAATAAAGTAAAACAAGCTCCCTTTGAGTATTTCACTTGCTTCTTAAATTTTTCTGACCTCTATTCCATTAAATGGCTTGCCTCAAAATATCTGACTTTATCTTTAAAACATTATGTAAAATGTGTACCTTCCTCTATACCACTTAGGTTTAGTTACCTTAAAACTGTTTAACTTACCATCTAGTAAAATTGCTGCTCTATGAACATGTACCTTGTTTATCTTATGGCTTAATATATTTTGTGGCATAAGGTCTGATGTATTTTTGGGTACAATCTGAGGAAAGAGAAGTACTCAAAAAGGTGGGTGGTAATCTGTTAGGGTAGGGAAGAGGTCAATGTAGATGAAATCCCCAGCTGGGAACCCTTGCTTTACGCCATGGCTCAGCCACAGTTCCCCTGCCTTCCACTTCCTTTTCTTTTTCTTTGTGTGGTGATGGGAAGTAATCCAGGTCCTTGCCTATGCGAGACAAGTGTTCTACCACTCAGCTATACCTTAATCATTTAATAATAAACTTGTAAGTTTCCTATGGTAGCCAGACTCTCACAAGGCTTCAAGAAGTGATTTTTCAATGCTATAATTTCCTAGTACAATCCCTGCTTTCCCCATAGAACTTAAAGATCTTCAACTAAGTGAAAAACACTGCTAGAGGGTAGTGTTGAAAAGATTTGGGTAATCAATACATTTAATTGTTTTATACAACCTTGCTTTTTTAGCCACAGGATACATTTAAGAGGGTGACTACTTCCTATTCCCATTTCTAGCCACTAAACTGCAATAAACGAGGCAGATTATACCTTACAGTTCCCATAGATAGGTGATTTGGGAAACAAGATATGGTCTGTGATTTCCTAACTCAGAATGAAGGTACATTTTTGTTTCCTGTTTAGATTATGCATCTAAGGTAAATCTGGGTTTATTCAACAACAAAGTCATGATTTAGGCTCCTTCATTTGAGCAGTTTCTACAGGACTGGATTTAGGCTAATGGTTCCTAACAAGATTTTGGCCCCTAAGAGTCATATGAAAATGTTTTAAAGACTTTTTTCATTGTGTTCACTAGGGGAGGAGCATGAGGTGCCACTAACTGAGATGTTGCTAAACATCCCACAGTGCATAGGACAAATACCACACAAGAAATAATTATCTAGACTAAAATGTCAATAGCGCAGTATTTGAGAAACCCAATACAAGCCAAGGTTAGTCGAGTTATTTCTTGAGCAAATAAATTGTAGAAACAAGTTGCATTCCTACATTCTTTCCCCCAAATACTTTCTCTTGACATAGATAGATATGAGAGGGAGAGAGGGAGGGAGAAGAGGGAAAGAAGGAAGGAGAGAGGGAAAGATCCTTTTAAGCTTTAGACAAGTTAAGTGGAAGGTACATATCTTTGGGTCATATAGCTTAAGACTCATAGCTTAATATACAGAATTTATAATAATTATATTCTATTCCACAAAGATTTAAATACCCCAGAGTTCAACGAAGTTAAAAAAAAAAACAATCGTTAGACAACTGACATTCATGAATGCTAGTTGTCTTATTTACCAGAAATGATAAAATAATCCCCTGCAAAGGATGCCCCTTCTGAAGGAAATGATAGCAAGATTATATGAATACTATCACA